AATTTCATTGGGCCATTTGTAAAATTTACGAATAATACTATAATATTAGACTATATTATATATTCTTTTGTAACTAACTAGAATTGTAAATCCTAGATATTCAATATTTTCTAATTACACGCAATTGTAGTCCATTTTTTAATATAAAATAAGATGAAAAAAAAAAAAAAAATTTAATAAAATGATCGAATGGAAGATTTAAAACGACTCGCATATTTAGTCGCGTAAGTAAGTAAATCAATGATTTAAAATACGAATTAAAATTACTTTCCTATTTCATACTGGACTTTACGTTTTATTTATAACTTTATTCTTCATGCACGTTATACGTTATGAAAAATAATTGAAAAAAAAAAAGAAAAAATAAATAAACAAATAAATAAACAATATTACAAATATTTGTAATATTTATAATCTTAATTGTTTGTTTAATTTATATTATTTATATAAGTAAGTTTATAGATGATTTGTTAAATATACTACTATATTCATAAAAAAGATAATTCATTTTGTCGTATCAAGAATCTTAACTGAATTTTATTCTCTAGAATTATTGTAAATATCGAGTTGCAAAAATATTACACACACCCAGCCACACACATACACATAAAGTCGTTGATAAGTCGGTTTGAATATTAAAAAAAATTTCCTTCTTACCATCCACTTACCTCGGATAAATAATAAAAAGCCTATAAACTTCAAAGATCCTCTCTCGTTTCTGCATCTTCTTCTATGATTTGATGTCATTATAAAATGAGAATGTATTGTCGCAGTCACGTGATAAATGTAATGGATAAACGTTTATAGTGGATGCTTAGAGTACCGAAATTTTTGAACATCCTTATTTCCACGACAGCGACATAAATCATAAATTATCAATGGTGATCCAATATCTAATGTACTAATATATCTACTAGATCTCAAGATACCAATTAAAATAGTCTTAACAAAACATTGAAAACAAATGAGCCTTGTTAAGGAAAAAGTACGATAAATCAAGCGTTAAATAGGGGGAATTGAATAAAGGAAAGTTCATTTGGAATACAAATTGTCATCTAATGTCAGATCTGATACAACAGGCCATATGAATTTTGAATAAAGTTTCGGTAAACGCAATTACAAACGATACAATTTGTACGTATTAAAGTGGTCAATTAAAGGTCAACGTCTAAATATGTGCCTCTCAAGATTTATCCCCCAAATAATAATAACAACGATAATATTAATAACAACAACGAAAACGACAACGGCAACGACAACGGCAACGACAACAACAGTAATGATAATAATGATAATAACGTACAAGAAGAACAATAAATGAGCGACAATGAGATGCGTCAAAAGCCGTCACAATAATTGCTCGGGCCGGAAGTCCGACTTAAAAAACCTACTTGAATTCTTAAAAGGCCTTTCATTTGTGACTTGTTGCTCGCTTTTGGCGTGTAAAACGCGAAACGGCAAAGTAAACTCGGCCCGCATTGGCGCATCCGCACGCTCTCGCATTTCCCTGGCGATGCTCGTCCCTTCGTTCGTTACTCGAGGCATTATCGAGGATTGCGAGGGACATGTCACAATCCTCGTGGCCGAGCCTTCGTTTGCCCTTTCGATGCCTCCGCCGCTGTTTCCTCGCTCGAGACGAGCTACGATCTCCATGCCTCTTGTGCGCCTGCCAATTGCCCCTACGAATCTCCTGCGCTCACTCGGCCAATTCGTAACCAACCAACCAACCAACCAACCAACCAACCAACCAACCAACCAACCAACCAACCAACCAACCAACCAACCAACCAACCAACCAACCAACCAACCAACCAACCAACCAACCCCCCCTCCCCCCGCCAATGTACAATCCAGGGCCCGCCGGCTTTACGGCTTTACGCTTTACGGCTCGTGTGCGTGAGCACTTGCGTCTTCGCATCCTTCGCTACGCCGAATAAAATTTACGCCGACGTGGTTACGGGCTGCGTGTGACACAGAGTACACTATCCTCTTAGTCGTGATCGGCTTGTGCGCTCTTTGGAATTCGTCACTCGAGAAGCTTCGCTTCGGATAATGCTCATCCTGCCTCGAATATTTTAATCGCGTGCCTCCTTGCCCCACCCCGCCGCTCAATTTGTAATGTCGACGAAGCCCTTTCCAGTAGTCGAATGTTCAGCTTTCCAAGTGAGCATCATTGTTTTGTACGAGCGCCAAGGAATTTAATTCAAATAAGAATGCGCGCTTTCCGACATTATGTAGATAACGAACACACACACACACACACACACACACACACACACACATATATATATATATATATATGTATATATGTATATATGTATACAAGTGGAAATATAGAGAAGACGGGGAGAGCACTCGACAGATATATTAGTTAAGCATCAACTTATTTCTGCGAAATTATATATTAAACGAAAAGAAGCGAGAGAGAGAGAGAGAGAGAGAGAGAGAGAGAGAGAGAGAGTGTGTGTGTGTATGTGTGTGAGAGGATAAGAAAGTTGATGCTTTTGGGAGATAATAAATATCTTAAGTCTAAATCCTCTTTATCTTAAATTTTGTTGTAATTCATGCAGTTCGGCATCAAATTCCATTGAATATATAATAATATTCTTTTATAGATTAATTGAATCGCAATCATTATTAATTGCGTTTTTTAATTAATTCAGAATCTCTAAGCATTACAGCTTCCTAATTTTGCGACAAATGCTTGTTGAATAATTTGGCACTAGGAATGATGATATTTTTTACTTAATTTGAAATAAAAGAAAAAAAAAAATACTATAATTGCTTAAGACGATTTTCATTATCTATATATTATTATTACGATTGTATAGCGAAAGAAATTTGGTGCATTGAAAAGTCAATAAAAAAGTAATTATTTGTATCATTCTATTAACTCGAATATACACACACACACACATACAGAGACTCGATTAGTTATTATCAATATTAAGTGTTGTGAATAAATACTTCAGCAATGTCAGAAATTCTACTTGAGGCGAGATACGAATATTTTACATTACTTTTAAGCATTAATACGTGATGCTCGATATTTGTACAATCGATTTATGGAAGCTGAACACGTAGAAACCTTATGCATGACAGTGATTTTTTTCGTATCGAATTTCGTGTATTTTTTATTATTTTTTTTTTTTTTTTTTTTTTTTTTTTTTTTTTTTTTTTTGGGTACCTATACTCTTACATTGTTTCCGATTTACAAAGATTTCTTTATGTACATTTTAAAACAATACAAAGGCAAAAATTATTTTTATTGCCAATTATAGTAATATTAATTATTGACATTCTTTTTTATGCTTGCGCTTACAATTGACACACGCTTAACAGAAAAATAGGTAAAAGAGTGTCAACGACAACGAAGACGACAACAACAACAGCAACAAAGTATAAACGACTCGAGTATATTCAAATAATGATGAAGATACCGAGTGTTAATTCAGAACCGGTTGATACTTGCCGATCGCGTGGCATTTTTTTTCTCTTCACTTTTCAATTAGTTAAATAAATTTAGATGCATTGGAATATGTAAAAAATATTTTTTCCATATTTTTACGGAAGATTTTCGTGGATTGTTAAGTCTAATTTTATCCTCTTAAAGTCTGTTCTTAATAAGAACGAAATTCATTACTATTATAAAGTAAGATAATGTATGGAAAAGTAGGAAGGTACGATCGAACATAGATACAAAGACATCAAAGTTTTGTTCTCAATATTAATAAAAAAAGAAAAAAAAAAAAAAAAAAAAAAAAAAAAAAAAAAAAAAAAAAAAAAAAAAAAAAAAAAAAAAAAAGAGGAATAAACGAAAGATAATAAAAATATTTACTATCAAAGTGGCTAATGAGTCACGTATTGTACGAAATTTAATTGTCTTATTTAAGAAGAGACTAGGATATTGTTTTCGTAACGTAATATATTCATAACCACCGTTTTAATAAAGTCAACGAAACCAATAAAAATTTTCTCATCATAGTGATTTGTACACGTTGTTGCCATTGGTAATTTACATCACGTCTTTATTAAAGCATTTTAGCCATTTTCTAAGCGGACGATGAGGCATTCGCAACGTTATAGACGGGGAGCGAGAGAAAACGATTCGGCATTTCAATTGTCACCGCAAAGTCATACACGGATGAACGACGCTCGCCTAACGCCATTAATCGAGAGCGTTTAGTTATTTCGTCGGCAGTCTAATAAGAAATTATCGCCCTTTCGCATTAAGCAGAAGATAGCTTAAAGCAGCGACATCGTTGTCCCGGTTTAGCGCTTAAATTATTTACCGAATCTTCAAAACTCGATGGCTCATGCGCTTCTCCTCCCACCCCTCGCCTCTCACAAACTATTTCTATATAATTTATAATTTCTATTTATTTTTATAAGCCCTGGAACCCGTGGCAATGAAGCTATTACTCGCTCGGATCAGCTTGAAAAATTGACCAATTGCTCGAATAATAAGAAAAGTTACGAGCTACGCCGCAATAATCCTAATTGTCCCGGTCGCATCGACATTATCGAGAGCCGGAGCCGAGGATGTAAGAAAAAAAAACAAAACAAAAAAAAACAAAACAAACCAAAAAAAAAAAAAAAAAAAAAAAAAAAAAAAAAAAAAAAAAAAAAAAAAAAAAAAAAAGATAAACGGGGAGAAAAGGGTTAAAAAAAACAAAACAAACCAAAAAAAAAAAAAAAAAAAAAAAAAAAAAAAAAAAAAAAAAAAAAAAAATGAAAAGATAAGAAAAGAGAAAAAAAAAAGTGTAACGCGGAGAGAAGCGTTGTATCAACGGTCCTAGAAAAAAAGCCAACGGAATGTTAATTTACGTTAAGTCGGCCAACGATCTCCGTCCTCGCTGGGCAAGACCCCAGCCCCAGCCCATCCACCCACTACTCGTAGCCGCGCACGTCGTCCGCTCGAGCGTGAAGATTCGCGCGCGACGAGCCGGGCGCTTCCTGCCCAAGAAAAAAGAGGATAAAAAAAATTCTATTGAACTTACTGACGAGAGCGGCGCAAAGTCCGCAGCTTAGGAGGACGAGGAGGAGCGCCTTCCCAGTGATAAGGAGCGTCATCGTCCGTGGGATAAGGAACGTTCGCTGATGGGATCGAGTGCGCGACATCCTTACGATCCGGGTACGCGCACTGCGTGGAACTCCCGAGGTCGAGGGAATCGAGGGCCGTTCGACCCGAGGCACGCCGAGGAGATCCGCGATTCTGCGCACTCGGCGCCGCGTGCCATTCGCCTCGAGCGGCCGAGGGGTGGGGACGGGCATGGGTGGGAGGGGCCACCTGTTCCTTGGCTCAGGAGGTGACGCCGTGCCCCGACTCCTCGGGGAGCACCTGCCCCCTTCTTCGCTCTCACTCGCTCACGCTTCACGCAGAATTTCGACGGAGATGATGGAGCCGTGACTAGTCTCTCGCGTCTTTTGAAAATTCGCTCCAACGTTCGAGCGACAATGCTCTCACTTTATACCAATTGCCAACCCGACTCTCGGATATCCAATGCGTTTGAGGCGCAATGCCGGTACGAACTTAGGAATAGATAGACAGATAGAGAGATAGTGAGGTAGAGAGATAGCGTGGTAGAGAGAGGGGAGTAGAGAGAGAGGTAGAGAGAGGGGAGTAGAGAGAGAGGTAGTGAGAGGGGTAGAGAGAGGGGTAGAGAGAGGGGTAGAGAGTGAGAGAGAGAGAGAGAGTGCTCTTTTATTATTTATTTATTTTTTTTTCTTTTTTTTATTTTTTCCACGACGCTGCTGTTTAATGTACGACGATGCAATTCGTTTGCCAGGCTCGATTTCTCTCGACTCGAAATTCTTTCTACACTCGTCATTACTAGGTATTCGATTAGTGCTTTCTAAGCACAAGCAAACAAGTATTTAACGATGCTCTCGCCGATCTCATTCGCGTCCTGTCCAGAAACGGGAATTTTTATTGTTAATGATGATACAGTGGTGTACTAACGAATAAGCGCGTGCAATTCTAAAAGTAGCAAACTAAATTATTAGAGTCGTTATTTTGTAACATTGGTTATTATTATCGCGGCCGTATGTACATATTTATACTGACAATGCTTTTTGTAAAAAGCAGAAATGAAAAATAATTTGTTCTTTAGTTGTTGAAACTGTCGACTCTCGTTTCAACGAGTCGACGATAAGAGCGAATATTAAGAAATTACGAGAACGCGCGACTTTGATGTCTTTACTTGCATTCTTCCATCGCTTTCGCGATCCAAATTCGATAAATAATTACGCTCGAAAAGCAATAGAAAGATTAAAATTATTGCTTTTGTTTTTCTTTCATTCATTGTTATTTTAACGACTTTGGTATTTAAACAAGTTACTTGGCTACAGCGTAACTGTAACAACTCTCTCTATAGAATTAAAATACAGAAAAATGACGAAATCGGGAATATATTCCAGGAATATATATCAGCAAGAGATATTATGTAAGGAGGAGCGCAGATCGCGAGGATTAAAGAAGCTCCTTTGGAATATGAGGTGTACTGTGGTCGCGCAAGTTTGCCGGTCCGTGATCGAGCGTTGCATTGCTATTGCTTAAGAACAGAGACGGAGCATGTGTTTTGGCGGTTGCGGCCGACACGTGTGCCGGCTGTTACGCGTCTTAGCATTACCGGTCGTGCGGCCGAGCGCCCACCTGAAATCCTAGGAGATCGATGTTTTCGGACTTCAGGTACCGCGAGGCTACTTTCGACCAATTAGGAAAGAGCTCGGAGCTCAGTGCTCTTAAGCTCTCGGATAACAATTAAAATTAAATTTATTTAGAATTTTATTATAATGGAACGTATCAGCTACGTTGAATTTTCATTCTTTTTTAATATTATCGATCCAACTCTCCCTCGCTGTGTTGAAATAATAAATCCAAGGTAGGGTATTAAAGGGGATACGAGAGTACGATGAGCTCGGGCTGATGAGCCGATGTGAATGTTGAAAAGACCGATCATTAAAATTGCTTTTAATAATGATTATGTCGCGGCAGTAAGTCGCCGATACTTTGGATATTAATGGCAGTTGTAATTAAAAATTTTGTTTCGATAAATAAAACACAAAGAGTGACAGGATACATTGGAATCGTGTGACCGATTTTGTTGTTATTTGAAATTTAGAATTATCGATACTCCTAATGAAGTTATATTTGCAGGAATACATATTTAATATCGCCATTACAGCTCTATTTATTATTTTTATTTGTATATGCTTAATTACCATGAAATTGTAATAAATTGTCTTGTCTTGAGGCACCGTATTTATCGAGCGGCTTTAATAATTTATTATTTACTTAAATTTTATCTTGACGTTCGTTAATATACATTTTCATCGTTTCATTATATACATTTTTCAATCACGTAATAAGAACAACTCAAATTTTCTATTAGTTTATTTTATTATTATTATTATTATTTTTTTTTTTTTTTTTTTTTTTTTTTTTTTTTTTTATTATTAGTTCACATTAGTATTTTATCGTTTTAAAAAGTATTTTATTAAAATTCTTAACTATGCTAATAATTTTTCATAATTGTTTCAAGGTTTGGCAATATGATTTTTTTTATCTAAAAATGCATGGAAATTTTATATACATCTCAGTGATTGTTGAAATTTATCTTTTATCCAATTAAAGATATTTAATTAATTGCTTCGTCAAATATTGATTAATTAATTAAAAATTTTGTTCTTGATATTTTATTTCACTTTGCTATAAATAATTGTTATTAGATAGTAATTTATATAAACTTTTTGTTTAATAATAATCTATCGTAGCTTTTACAATATATTTTTACTTTTGGCAATTATTATATTTTTTCAAAACTTAATCTTATTTAAAATATTTTTCCATATATTATACAAATCAATTTAAGTGAAATTATTATTATTATCATTATTATTATTATTATTTTTAATATATCATTTGATAAATGTTAAATATAGTTAGAAAGTTCGATAAGATTTTCATTTAATTATAATCGTATTCAAATTAAATATTATAAAATATTACATTATTATATGTATTGTATTATTATGTTTTTATTATTAATTTCATTAATTTTATTTATATATTATATTAATATATAAAATATATTAATATAATTATATTCCTATGTGTACAAGTTATAATTTAATAATTATTAGCAATACTTTAGCAATTATATTACGTATTATTCAAAGCAAAGAGTATGTAAAAGTGAACTAAACTATTTGTAAATAATATTGTTATATTATTAAATGATTACAATAATTCATTTATATGAAAATTCATTTGTTAAATATAAATTCCTCGTGAAGTTTAAGAAGACCATTGGTATTCTGCCAAATGTTCAATGAACTTAATTGATAGGCGAAAATGTATTAAAACTGTAAAAAAACTTTTTTTCATTTTTATTTTATTATTATTATTTTATTCTTAGATTGATTTAGCGCAACTGATTTTTTAATATTTGAATTTAATAAACCGAATAGCAATTTACATAATTTACCTAAGATTTTTCGATTGTATTGTTACTAGAAGATTTATAAATGAAATAAGAAACGTTAAACAAAAATTCTATCTCTATATGAATAATTTTATATTCTTAATTTTTTCTTTTTAAATTATATGTACGTATATCAATGTCTGACAGCAGATTAAAAGGATAAATTTGTAGATGTTTACTAGGATTAGCGATGCCTTTAATAAGGACTTATGACAAAACTATATTCATATCATTAGAAATCTTCATTCTTAAACAATAACTAATTATAATTATGAACAATAATCACTGACTATGCTCTATTTTTTCTAGTATGTTCATTTATTGTATTTTCATGGATAAATATTTTAGTTATAACAAAAAATGCTTAATGGGCTAAAGCATTATGATGAAATTTTAATATAGCCGTATATTGATATTTGTTAACTTAATATATAATAGAAAATTTACAGATCGTTGCGGTAGAGGCTTATATATATTTTATTTCACCTACCCGTAATATTATAAAAGTTTTCAAACTTAATTATGACGAAAATTTCATGCGCAAGATAATGTTGCGCAGAAGTAAAAAATGTCTGCTCTTTTAACATAACCACTTTTATGAACAATTAGTATCGCGTATTACTGTATTTTATAATTTTTGTAAGTCCAAAGCTTTATTTGAAAATGCCTCTGATAATAATGACCGGTATTCCATGTAGTGGCAAAACTAATAGAACGAATGAATTGAAAAAATTTTTTGAAATGGAAAAGGGGAGGAAAGTTACAATTATAAGTGAAGAAGAGATGATACAGAAAGCTATGTTTGATAAAAACAATTTTTATTCAGGTAAACCTATTGCTGAGATATATTTTTATTAGTCCTTATTAATGCTAATAAGTATAAGGATTTATGCTGCTTTCTCTTATAAAGCATGCACCCAGTTAATGATGTATTTCTAATTTCAACTTTCACTAAACGCTTGCAATTACCCTACATTTTGGGTATCAATATATGTTTATTTAATGCACAATATAAAATTATGTATAATAATGTATAATATATATATATATATATATTTCATTTATATATTGTTAGTTTGAATCGAAGAACATTATTATTGTATTCGCGATGATTTATATTGTAATTTTTATTTGTTTTTACTGACTTAATAGTCATATATAAAAGTTTATTATAATGTCAAATTTTTTTATAAAGATTTCTTTGTATATTAATTAACGGATATAATAAATACTATCGAAAGATTTATGGTGATACATTTTTTATTAACTAAGCTCTCCAAAAAATATCAAATATAAAAAAGTTCATACGATTTAATTACTTAACGAAGAAGTTATAATAAGCCGTGTCTTTTTATTTATACATTTTGTATGTTTTTTTTTTTTTCTTACTATATTTATTGATGTACCAACTTAATTATATTAATTTCTTTAATTTTAAAACAAAACCGAATGGATAAGTTATTAAATTTTCATATCATCTTCAATCATCTCATCATTCCAATTATATCTAGGAAATTGAATTTTTCCTTTCATGTATCTACAAACAATTATTGTTTTCAATGTATTGTGCAAATAATTATACGGTTAGATAATCATAAATATTTTGAAAATAATTAATTTTAGAAAATCTTAATATACTATTTTAAATACATATTTCTTTTTAAGATTATAAAATTTAATTGGTATATGTAACAATTGAGTAGTAAATGTATAATATAAATACAAGTACTCATGAGTTAAAAAACGCATTAGATATACCGATAATGAAATAAGTAATAGATCATCTTAATTTTAACGACAATTAAACCTAAATTCTTCATGAGAAATTACTTTCTAGATTCAAGGAAAGAGAAACTCATCCGTGGCGATATCAAATCCCATACACAGCGTTTATTAACTCAAAATGATATTTTAATTATTGATGGTAGTAATTATATAAAGGGCTTTAGATATGAAATTTATTGTATGAGTAAACTGTACAAAACACCGCAATGTACAGTTCAGTGTGATCTACCAGTTGAACATGCTTGGTTATGGAATGAAAATAGATCTATGGACGAGCAGTATTCGAGAGAAATATTTGATGCTTTAATTCTAAGGTATGTTGAGAAAATTTTTGGCAATACTTTAAGTAATTCTAATCGTATACTTTAAATGTTTAGGTATGAAACACCCGATAGTAAAAATCGTTGGGACTTTCCATTGTTTATAGTAAATCCAGAAGATGAATTAAATTACGACGATATTTATTCTGCATTGTACGAAGTAAAAGCACCTAAACCAAATATGAGCACTCAATGCGTTAGTAGTATTTTATTTATAATTGCTTTTAAATTATAATTTATAGTCATTTATTTACTAATTTTTTTAATATTGTTTCAGACACCATTATCATCGGCTAATTATTTATATGACATAGACAGGATAACGCAGGAGATAGTTAATGTAAATTTTTAAATAAACATATAAATATTGTAATGCGTTCGTTAAAGAATTTTAATAGGAATAATTATACTTTTACAGGAAATTATATCAGCAAAACAAATAGGAATCGATAGTAACATAAAAATTCCCAAATATAACGTAACGGTTCAATGTTCAGGAAGTGTACCACAACTTGCAAAATTAAGACGTCAATTTTTAACATACAGCAAAATGCAACAATTAGAGACTGAACAAATTCCAACATTATTTATACAATATTTAAATAAAAGTTTATAAAATTAAGATACTTTAATGAAAATGGTATTAAAGTTATTTAATACTACATACTTTATTAGAGCTTAATGTCTAATTTAATTGAGTAGAAATCAAGGATATTACAAAAAATTTTAATTATTCTCGTTTTAAATATAAAATTATATTAATTACAATATTACAGAAAGTGTAAGTTACATTTCAATATACTGCGCTTCATCATGGGCAAACTCTGTAGATATAATAAGCACAAACTAAGAGGTCTTTATACAAATATTTTAAATTAAAGTTTTATGAGAACAAGCAAAAAAGTAAAAAATTTTTCTTTTTGTATCACATAATAATAATAATAATAATAATAATAATAATAATAATAATAATAATAGAACATTTAATAAATTTTTCGTTGTATTTTTTGAAAATTTTAATACAACAATTTGACTCAATTGTAAAATATCTTGTAGGTTTTGTTTGATGTACAACCAAATTTGATATACTAAATTCGATTCTTTTTTTTTTTTTTTGTTTTGCTGTAATGGATTATACACAGTACAAATAATTTCTTCCATTCACAATTAAGAACAAAGTATTTGCATTAAAATGAAAACGTATAAAAGGCACTACTTATGAAAATACATCATCGACCTCAAACTACTAAATCAAAATTGAAACTTTCATTTAACAAAAATTCATATTTTTCATGGTATTTTAAAAATTGTAAAAATGCTTTTGTCAAATATGTGCATTTTGTACTTTAATTTTGTATTAAATTAATATCATATGTAATTATATTTATTTTCATATATTTATATTTCAGTGAGGACATGTTAATGTTAGTTAAATCGAATATTATTGTAAATAATAATTACATTAATCTAGATAATACCATTAATTTCATTTTCAACTTCACTGAATGTTGCGTCTCATGTTAAACACAATTTATATTGTTTATAGCCTTGATCGATAATGCAATACAGAAAAATTAATAATTACACTAAATCACATATTGGGTTCATCAAGGAAATTGTAAGGCTATGCTCATTTCCGGTAAATTAGTGAATTTTGTACTTTAAATATTTTGTATTATATATATATATATAAGCTTTTTATATTAAATGAGTTTGAAATGGAAATAATAAAGTTACTTGAAAATTGAAAGATATTTTTAAAAATTATACAAGTTATACCGAAAATGATGCATCTTTTGAGAAGCTGAAGGCTTGAAATTATGAATCCTTCAAACATCTTTATGAGTGAAACACAATTAAATCACGAACTATTAATTTTCTTGTTCTTGTAATCCATTAGTTTCTGAACCGTTGGATTGGCTCATTGGTTGTTCAGTGCTAGTTGTAGGCCTTTTTGGTTTTTGGCAAACAAAATAAACACTATTATATTCATATTGAAGCATGCTGTTAACATTTTGGGCGTAGCGCGTTTTAACGTGCGTTTCTTCTTTCTGAAACATTACATAAGAACGATTGAATGAAAATTAACGTCACATTAAATGACACGAATACATTCGTAGAATAGAATACCTCTATTTGGAAACCAAGTCCTCGAATGACGTCACGCACTTCGCTGTAACTTGGCTCGATAGATTCTTCCATAGGCATATCACTAAAATGATATAAAAGAGGACCAAGATTGATCCATATCCCACCAGGCTTTAGTATTTTATAGATTGTTTCTATAAATTGTACCACATTATTTGCGCAATCAATAAAAAAACATGTAGCAACACAGTCCCAATGATTTTCTTCTGTATAAACCTATTTATATAAAATTTTAATGTATAATCAATTTGTAAGATCATTCAATTGTGTTTAATTAAACAATAACTTTTTAATAAATAATAATTAAAAATAAAAGAAACAATGTTTTAATGTACATTGATTTATACCTCGAGAAAATCACCCGCTGCCATTGAAAATTGTGCATTTTCTGGAAGGTCACTGGGATTTACGTCTGGAAAGTAAACCTCTTGCGTTTGGTGTTCGGGTTGCAAATTATTCATATACTGATGTACCCATGGATGAACTTTAAATGAATTTATGCTTCTACATCTGAAAATTAAATTTACATAAAATAGGCAAAAAGAACTTCTGTTAAAATATCTAAAGTAAGAATGTTACTATTTGTGATTGTGCATAAATTTTAAATATTATATTAAAACAATTACATTGCATGGATACATTTACATCATAGTATATAACACTAATAACTTTAATTAATAGTTTATATAATGATTTTAATGCTATTAATTTTAGCAATAAATTTGTTTTCTTTATCTAAGTAATGATGTAAAAATCTGAAAATTTAATATTAATTTACGCAGCCAATTCTTTAATATAAAACTATAACATTACACTAGCCCCAAGCATTAAAGGTGAAATTTCTCTAAATAAACAAAAACTAATATCATGTTCATCAACATGATATTATTTTATTAAGTGTTAACAATGCAAATGCAAATATCGACACACTGAAAACATACGGATGTTAACTTACTTATTTAATACGAAATGGGACGCAAAGAGCATGAAGAGTGAAAACTCATTTCCTTGACAAGTGTAACCCCTCCTTGCGATCTCGTAAGCAAGTCTCCCAAGTCCTGCACCAGGTACGAGAATTCGGATATCCGCTGGCGTACTGGAAATTTACCTATCATTCCATTTTCTTTCTGAACTGTTTATCTATCATTTTATGACAGAAGACGTGAAGGTGAATAAAGTATGGAATTGGACACCCGAGCGATGAGAATATTATAAATTATTCGTACCAGTGCTCCAAAGGGAATTTGCTTATGATTTCATCGATGATCGGTTGATAGCAAGTTCTCCTTTCTTCCGTGCCTTCTGTGCTCCAGTCGCGTACTAACTGCTTGATTGTAGCTTGAACCTTTTCCTGATCCGCCATTATTGGACGATGACTAAGAGTCTAAATATATATTTTACTTTCTTAATAAATTTACAAACGTATTGGCAACACACAATATGATTATTATTACACTATTACAGAACCATGCAGCATAAATATCATTAAATATCCATAGTACTCTTTCAAAATCATTTAACGAAAAATTATAATTGATTTGTCTTCTTATTTTAAATGTAATTGCATAAAATTATTCTCTATGAACATATATTTCTCATATTTCCCTTTAAAATAATTTAAAATAGGAACGTATATGCATCCATCAATGAATATATTAATTAACGATGAATATAATAATATTAACAATGAATATATATTGACAACAATTAACAATTAATAAATATTAACAATGAATATATTATTAAATAATTTTACTTATTAATGACAAACTTTGTAGAGCGAAACAAAACTTTATACTACATTCAAACAATACTATATACAAAAGATCATACAATAAGCATATAAAATTGTTACAGATACTGCTGGCATTGCTTAATAATACAACGAATAAAAGTAACACATGCTACACACCATAGAAACTGGTCTTACACTGTCGGTTGACGAACTGGTTGGACTAACATTTTCAAAAATGTGTGTCACGTCTTTTATGATGAGTTTAATTATTTCGTCGTTATTTTCGATACATCTTTTAACATCGACCAAGTGTTCCCTATACTTGGTCAATAATTTCTGATGGTGTGGTGGAAGTGAAAGTAGATATCGCTCGGTTTTCTTTACTCGTTGCAATGAGTGAGGCCTATGAAAAAAAAAAATAATATATATATATATATATATATATATATATATATATAGCAATTATATTATTGTTACCTAAGCCATGATTACATGACCTTTCTATATTGATAGCTTTCATATATAACAAATTAAAATGGTAAAAATTGTGAATTGTCAGCTTAAATACAATCAAACTTATTGCTGTTATCGTTGAAATATATTACTCCTCGGCTGTCTAACATGACACTTTGACATAATGACATTCCGAAGCTAGTCTATTAATATATCAAAACTCGATAACATAATGCATCTGTTATTTGTTGGTGTAAACAAGATAAAACTTAGAGACATGTATAAAAAGTATTTAACCAATTAACTCTTATATCATATTTAGTCATAAACTTGATAATTAAGTTACAAAATTAATAATTTATAATTAATTTATAGTCTTACACTTTAAAAGATTAAATGTAATATAGCAGAGTAAAAATAAATAATTAATATAATTAAAATATCAAATTTTGTGCATGTTTGCCTGTATGTGAAATAACAATTATCGAGCATTCCAATTATGCATTGAATGAAAATATGAGTATCAAATTTTTTTTTAAATTATACACTAAAACTTATAAAAGTATCGATATGCCAAAAATGTTTAAATTCGATTTTTTAGTTCATTAAACAATTTTTACGTTGTATTAATGTGCTTAAATCGAATATTTTATTGTAATTAATTGTAAAAATTGGTAGCTGAAATATTTGAAAAATTTTATATCAATGTTGTGAATCTTCATTTTTTTTTTTTCTTTTTTTTTTTTTGTAAAAAATTTAATAACAGCGGTTAATTACTATAACAGGAATATCTCGTATAATATATATCGTACAACATTAACTAATATGGCTCAAGAATATTTCAAATAGGTAAAATAACAATGGTTTTGATCGATAATATCTAGGCACAGAATATAAATCATTAAATTCTGTTTGGCTTTGGTAAAAAAAAAAAAAAAAAAAAAAAAAAAAAAAAAAAAAAAAAAAAAAAAAAAAAAAAAAAAAAAAAAAAAAAAAAAAAAAAAAAAAAAAAAAAAAAAAATTGAAACACCGGCCGGTTTTCTTAACCCCAGGGTCTCTTTGGCATCGCAAAGAATTACGACGGAATGATCGTGATGTAAAGAGCTTTTTACATGACCATAACCGGCACGTGGAATATTTTTTTTTTGCACAGTGTGGTTGCGAGAAACCAGGGTCAAAATAAGCGGTTAAAGAGGTGATGTAGGGAAATACAAGGTACAGGGCTAATTTCAACATGTACAATGCAATCGCTAATGGACTTACTTGTAGTATTTGAAGGCCGAAACGATACGTTGAAAATGCTTCTTCTCTTCCTCGTCCTCGTACGTGCTGTTCATCTTTTTTGGGTATGCATTCGGCGCGACTTCCATTTTCGATTATGCCTCAGGCCTTTGTCCGCATAGATATGTTACCCCCACATAGGCATGCGCGCGCCCGAGAGTGGATGAGTTAATTCCGAGTTGTGTTTTCCGTTTCGCGATGACTTCGTCAGCTCGTCGTTTTCGTTTTGTTAGTCGTAATTGCAGGATAAACTTCTCCCTCGGTGCTACGATTTCGCGAAACACGTATTGGAAAGCATAAACGCAATAGTACTTGGCTTCTACGCTCGGTTAATTATATTATTTTCCTCGATTGGAGCGAGCGCGACGTCCAAGCAGCGGCTTTTTCTCTCCTCTCCTTAAGAAGAGAACAATGTGTATCGTTGTTTCCTCGCGCGCGCAGATTCCTTCTCCGTCTTGCTCGTTTATTGTTTTTCTTTTCCTTTTCTCCTTGCTGCCGCGACTCGCGGCGCGCGCGCGCGCTTCTAGTATTTTCCCGCCTGCGTGGGAGCGAGATAGAGGTGGCTAATACGATTCCTTGATCGAACTCGAAGATTATTTTAATATTCGGGATCTGGCGATTATTATGTTCGTCCATAATTTAAGAAAGAATAGTACCGTCCTGTAATAAGCGTTTGTTAATTTGCTCGTTTCTTTAATAGGACCGTGTCGCGTCCTCGACATTACTTTCATAAATGAATCTCTCTTATTCAGTACTCGTTATTCGACACTATGAATAATTTGAAATTCATTTTATATGAAGAATTTAATTTGATTGGGATATATTGTTACCCGTGCAAGTGTCTTCGGCTTTACTTATAAATATATGAAACAATCATTATGAAAACATTTCTTTTATTCGAGTTGTTTTTTCTTACGCCGTTACGATTATCATATCGTTAATTCAAATCAGCTTTATCTTTCTCTTATTCATCGGATAATCTTCTAATGTTGTTGTATTGGAAAAATGTGTGCATATTAAGTCATTAAAAACATTCGTAAAATCATAGGTATTATTTTAATATTATAATATTAACAAACGATACTGCATTTCATAACAAATTAATACAATGATTTGTAATTGCAAATTTGTTATATTTTCATCCTTACGCTAATAATCGAATGGCACTTGATAGTATAAAATTTCCTTTTCATTTTACTTTTAATTACTACCCTACGATTGACTTTCCCATTAATTATTTTTTTCCAACATATTTCATGCAAAAAATTTCCCATTTACGCATGGCCAATTTAATCACGTGTAGACTATTTATTATGCAAGCATGCGCCCGTGTATTTACTTTCATAACCTCCATGATTTTTATTTATTATTTTTTATTTATATATTTTTTTTTTTTTTTGCATTAGTATAGAAAGTGGTATTTCAAAATACAGTTAATAATACGAATATAATAAAATGACCGACGACACTGACCAAGTATTATCGGAAGAACAAAAATTAATTATTGCGCATAAAAAAGAACGTAAAGAATTACAAGGTAAAGTGCTTTTTGTAGGCCAATTATGTCGATTGTTAACACATATTGTCATCTTTTATTTTAGCCAAAATTCAAGTCTTGAAGAAGACCATTTGTAAAGGTGACAAAAAGAAGAAGAGAGACATCACTGAAGAAATATTGAAATTAGAAAGTGATTTGGATAGAAAACAAGATGAAGAAATTGCTTGTCTTAAATTATCGAAAATGAGTACTGAAAAATCTGAAGTAGAGATTGATAATTTATTAGCTAGAGAAAATAGTGATTATGTACATATGAAAAATAGTCGAGAAGAATGTAAATCGAGTGGTAGAGTTTCTAAAGCCCAAAAACGAAGGGAAAAGAAAGAAATTGCTGAAAAAGAAAGAAACCAAAGAATAATTGAACAAGAAGTTATAAATATTCATGGAAAGCGTAATGTTGAAATAGAAGCGATTAGAAATATCCTTGTAAAACGAAATTTAATGATACATGAAATACCAAGCGATGGACACTGGTACATGATTATTTATAATTTAAAGCTTATATTTCGGCGTGTAGTATATATCTGTATTTTATTACTATTTCAGTCTTTATAATGCCATTGCGCATCAATTGAATGGAATCGAAAATTCGACGTTAAATTGTAACGACCTTAGGGAAAAAACTGCCACGCATTTAAGAGCGAATGCAGACAATTTTTTACCATTTATTACTAATCCAGATTCGGATGAGCTTTTGTCCATCGAACAATATGAAAAATATTGCGACGATGTTGCTCAAACGAATGCTTGGGGTGGAGCTATTGAAGTACGTACATTTTTTATTTACATTGGAAGCAATGGCACTCCATAAATTATAGAAAGATTATTATTAACACCGGACAAGAGACAAATTGATTAAATTAATCTTTATATGCCGACTTTATTTTCATATTCGTAATACTAAAAAATTTTTAAACACAGTTGCAGGTATTATCTCACGTTCTTAAATGCCCCATCGAAGTAATTCAAGCCAGCGGTGTTACCTATATAGTTGGAAACGAACATGCCCCAACGAGAAAGCTCATCTTAACTTATCATCGTCACATGTATCAATTAGGAGCGCACTACAATTCAGTAACGAAATATGTTAAACAGCCGGAAGACAGCTGATTGATTAGATTGCCAAATTGTAATTGCTCAAGATAAATTATTCCTAGCATACTTTAAAATATTGTTTAGCAATATCGATAACTATTGGAACATGTAATTATGCTAATTAAATGTTGGCTAATGTACAAGAGTTTGAAAGAAAATTATTAAAAAATTAATTACAATTATTTATTTCTACATCATTCTGTTATAAATATATCGATCTTGTTCTTGTACTATTTGTAATTTTAGTAGAAAACTTATTCTAACTTGTCGTCACATGTATGGATTAAAAACACAATAAATCTGTGATAAAATATACAAATTAAAAAGATCGCTGATTAGATTGACTCATTAAAATAATTTAAAATAATATTTAAAAAAAATTATTTTTATTATTATTTATTAACAATTATCTTCTTTTTAAGGATTATTTTGTTGAGTTATTGGGATTTTCTTCAGTCTCTACTTTATTCTGTTGTTCATCTGGTTTCATAGCAGGGAAGAACAGTACCTCCTAAAATAAGTGTATTTCAGCAATTTCACAGGAAAAAATGTACATTAAAAATGTTTTAGCAATGTAGCAAAATGTAGCAATTCCTACCTTAATATTATTGGAGTCCGTAAGAAACATTGTTAACCGATCAATTCCAATACCCCAACCGGCGGTAGGAGGCAGACCATATTCAAGAGCATTGCAAAAGTTCTCGTCAACTAATTGTGCTTCGTCGTCCCCAGCTGCCTTATCCTTAGCTTGTTGTTCAAACCTTTTTACATTTAACGGATTTTAGACGTAATTTTTGTCCACAAAATGCTTATGAAAATGATGAATTGTGAAATTGATTACCTCTCTCTTTGGACGAAGGGATCGTTTAATTCAGTGTAGGCATTACAAATTTCTTTCTTCATGACAAACAGTTCGAATCGTTCGGTTAAGCCGTCCTCAGACCGATGCCATTTGGCAAGCGGAGACATTATTTGTGGATGATCCATAATAAACGTCGGATTAGTGCATTTCTCTTCTATAAATTCACCAACAAGCTACACAACAATGCAACACAAACATATTTTCAATCAATTACTTTATCTTATGAATTTGTAAAATTATTAAACGATTCCAATAAAAAAATAAAAAATATATTTTGGAAATATATTTGCAAATAGATTTTACAGCCACTACTCTGTGGCTTATATTTATACACGACATTTCGCATTCGATTTAAAATTGAAAATTTTCAAATTGATCTACCTTATCTAACAATCTGGCTGTGGTTCTCGGTGGCGAGCATTCAATTTCATGTTTCGCACAAAGATCGTTGAAGAATTTATTAGATTCAGATGTGCTAAACTCCGAAGGCGCAGGAAACTTGACCTTCAATACTTCTTCTAACGTCTTAACCATAAGAACGCGCTTGAAGGGAGGAGTAAAATCAATCTCCACCTCTTCGCCATCCTCACCATCCGGATGATATTTGATTTTGTAAGAACCATGTATTGTTTTAATCATACCTGAAATCATTTCTTCCGTGATAGACATGAGGTCATTGTAATCTGCATAGGCCATATAAAATTCGCAAGTGGTAAATTCAGGATTGTGCGTGAGGTCGATACCTTCGTTTCTAAATTGCCTTCCAATTTCATATACTCTATCGATACCACCAACTACCAACATCTACATAGAATCAAGTAAATTCGAAAACTAAAAAATACAGGTTGCAAATATAAGCATTTGTATTTTATCGTCTTACAATTGATGTTTGATGATTATTTACTTTGAGTAACGACAAAATATTATTATTAATTGCATGTACTATGGTTATAATGTAAAAAAAAAAAAATTTTTATAACTCATGTCTTATTTACTCGTTATTTTTCACATTCGTAAAATTTTTAATTTCCTAACAAGAAATGTTCGCACGGTTAAAGAGAATTAAATATAAAACAATGGAATTTCTCTCAATAATTACAGACAGTAATTACGACAAATTATAAAATAATATTATCCGCTTACCTTATGATAAAGTTCTGGCGCAATACGCATGTATAAGTCCATATTAAGTTCATTATGATGTGTAATAAACGGTTTTGCAATTGCACCTCCAGCAATCATATTCATCATTGGAGTCTCGATTTCCAAGAAGCCTAGTTGATCGAGAAATTTACGAATATAAGAAATGATCTTAGAGCGAGTATAAAACTTTTCTCTTATTTTCTCGTTAATTATTAAATCTAAATACCGTTTCCGATATCTAGTTTCCTGCAATACAATTAAAAGCTATTTAATTACAATAAACTGTTAATTAAAAGCAATTTATCTCGAACGAAAGTGAACGAGATGTTTGTTAAATTTTCATTTTTAGGACGTGGAAATATAATAACACCGACTCGCATAAATTTACAAAATTAAAATGAAAAAAATAGGTAAAATGGATTATTTCCATGCGATTTATATTATATTCTTTTCTAATTATTAGTAATTTATATAATACTTTAACAATAATTTACATTCGTAATGAAACGAATATGCGTATTACCTTATCCTTTAAGCCATAGTGTAAATGTGGAAGCATATGCAAGCACGGACTCAGTAATTTAATATAGTTTGGCAGAATTGAGAACTCTCCTTTTTTAGTTTTACAAGGAAAACCAGTAACGCCAATAATATCACCTCGACCAATTTTATTAGTGTGACGAAAATACGTTTCTTCATCGCAGTAGTGCTTTGCATTAGCCATTACTTGAACCTTAACTCCTTCGGCCCGAAGATCATAAAAAATTAATTTATTACCAGAACGTCTAATGGAATACACTCTGCCAGCGATATTATAAATGTTTTGTGTTATCATTTCATCATCTTTGAGAGTGTCGCTATATTTTTTAATAAAATTTTTGAGCGATATTGATACATTGAATTTATGAGGATACGGATGTTCGTCGGTAGTCTTAAGTTTTTGAACAGCTTGGCCTCTAAGTTTAAAATATTCCTGAAAAAGTTACATAAATTGAAATGCGAAGCAGGGAATATTATAAACTTGGTATTTAAAACTTTTGCCCACATTTGGATTTATGTTCTCTTCTGATATTATTTGATCAGAATTTTCAGACTTTTTTACTTTCTCGGCAGTCTCTTGCTTCATAGTCTGTTTTTGTTCGTTTAATTTTAACTTTTGACTTGCTTTAAGTTGCCTCTTCAATTCACTAAAAATAATTATTTATGGATCAAAAGTTAATTTCTTCATCTATTAATTATTCTCTATTTATGCATAAATCAATAAAGTTCATTCTCATTCAAAATTTCTTTTATCGATATTATAAATTAAAGCAGCATGCATAATATACAACTAACTCTAATAAAAATATTTGTATTCGATTCCTTTGGTAAGCGTATTATTAATTTTCTATCAAAAAATACAAAATATATTAATAAATTTTGTACAAATATTCTCTACATAAATTAATTTTACACGACCAAACTAATTTATGAAAAAATAAAACTTAAAACTAAGGAAATAGTATGCTCAATAAATGTTTTCCAATAAAATGAAAAAAAAAAAAAAAAAAAAAACGATATCTGTAATATTTAATCAAATAATTTGCTCGTTACATCTTATAAATTTCTATAGATTATTTTCATAGACTGGTCGTTCGAATTGCTGAAAAAGCGTACTTACATCTGACTTAAAATGGAAAATCCACGCATCAAGTAAAAAGACATCGATAATAATAGTAACAACAACAACAACAACAACAACAACAACAACAACAACAACAACAACAACAACAACAACAATAATAATAATGTGTATGTGCGAGGGATCATGAATCGAAAGTGTCTATGTTGTTTAAAAATAAATTCGATAAAAGACTAAGCGCACTAGCTATCAATTCTTAGAGAAAACGAATTTTCACCCTTTTTTTCTTTCGTTTCATTAATTTTTCAAAACTCTCAAATCACAATCGCTCGTTTGCTCTCACGAAACATCCCCACATATTTTAATCGCATAGAGTAATACAAGTGAGTAAAACAATAAAGAAAATGTTACGCACTTTTTTAAAAACCGGTGGATGGAAATATGACGCAAGATGAAGTGTGTTTCGTATATCATTAATCTTGCCGACATCAAGTCATTGCAACTTCTTAGATATTTCAATGAGACTCTCCCAACTCTACCTAACATCTTGCCTATGCGTATTTACGATCGATATAATTAAAATTCTCCAGACTCCAATCACTATAATGATAAAGCGGAAGCGCTAATGAACACACGAAACTACGAAAGAAGACTCTGCTGGTTCTCGATAGGTTATCTTTTCGTGCATAAATTGTTTACTCACTTCTTCGATAATTTTATCCCCGACACCTCGTCCATTGCGCCTCTTCTTTTATCTTCCAAACACTAACGAATAACCGATCAAATCGATTATCCAAAGGATAATAATCGCTAAATATAATAGCAATAAGCAATACACTGATATGTACTAAAAATTACTTTGTCCTCGTGGCCACAACCGCGGTCTCTACCTCCTTCGGATTTTTTACATTTTTTGCTCATTTTACACGTTGGCAATTCTCAATTTTCATTATTTTAATCGGACGACACACACCAATAACGTTAGAATCCATTGCCGCCGGCGCGTTTTTCAAATACTTTGAAATTTATTTAGTCCAATCTACTTTTTCCCAACAATCTAATTAAAAAACCGACTCTGACACTCTCTCTCTCTCTCTCTCTCTCTCTCTCTCTCTCTCTCTCTCTCTGCGCGTGTGTGTATACGCACGTGTGTATGCATACGATTAAATATACAATTGCAAGATTAATGGGAAATCTAATTGCGAGCATTATAAAATTATGAGCTTAAACTAAAATTAAATTTTAATAAGCAATCGGAGGTACGAGGTATTTTAATTAAAAGCTCATTTTAAATCGAGCCAATTTGATAATTATTATTTACATTGATATTATTATCCAAATCATTTATATTAATTTTAAAATATTTTACAAAAAAAAAACAAAGAAAAAACAAAGAAAAAAAAAAAAATTCCCAAGACAAAAGGAAGCAACAATATATTTTTAGATGTTCATACTAGGCGCTGCTGCACATATAAATACGTAAAATGTAAATAAATTTTGTTTATTTATTTAAAATTTATCTGTAAGATGCGTTGAAAGCAATCGTATTCAATATGAAATATATACATTTAATTATTATATATAATAAAATTATCGACACGTACTAATTATTGGCAATATATAATGCTTACATTATCATATGAAAATGATTATTAGTGCTGTTAATTAAGGCTTATAAAGCTAAGTGAATTAAGATGAAACAATTAATATATACATGTCTTCTTTTTGCTTAATTAAGACGCGATATAAATATAACGAAGGGGATTATTTTTTATGGGATTGATGTTGCCGTCTTATTTGCTGTTGTCGCCAAAATTCTTGACGAGCCTTCAAAAAATTGATACCTTCCTTGGCATGGACCGTAATATGCTGAGTCGATATCTGATTGGCTGCTTTAATATCTGCAATGATATAAAGAATAATGTCTGAGCACAGGTGAATTCACAGTTACTGTAACTTTCTATACATATAAATTTGAATAGGTGAGAAAAAATGAAATGCATTGCATAATTATTATTTATTCAATATTAAATCAATGATATTTTTTTACATTGGTAGATACTTTCATGTACAAAAATAAGACTATAGCAGCTTTGGGCATGTAAGCACTCTCAAGCTTCGAATCATTTAGAACGCTCGAGGAGAAATAAATGTATCATGAGATGAGAAAAGTTGATAAATAAATAGATAAGAAAGATATGGGATGGGGGTATAGGGAGTGGAAGGGATTGCGATGGGGGTTGAGGGGAGAAGATGGGGACAGAGTTGAGCGACGAGAGCGACGAGAGCGAGAGAGGAGAGAGAGAGCGATAGAGAGAGAGAGCGATAGAGAGAGCGAGAGAGAGAGAGTGAGAGAGTGAACGAGAGCGGGGGGAGGGCAGCGATAGAGTAAGCGGGTGGGACGAAGGGTGAGAAAAACGCTTGCGGCGAACGTTAATTTTTCAGCTTGAAAAAGCGCCGGGAACACAAGCAAGTGGCCTCATAAAATCAGGATCGAGGCTCAAATATCCTCGAATAATCGCTGCGTGTCAATTAGAAGCGCATTGAGCTCTTGATTCGTGCAGCCGTCGTTCAAAAATTTCATTAGGCTAAGGCGCTGCTCAATATCCTTGACCCTCGTTTGAATCCCGCCCCTAAACTGCTCGGACTTCTCCATGGCCTTGACTGCGAGCTCGTAGAAGGTGACGATGTTCCGGAGCATGCCGAAGGTCTTGTTCAAAGGGCAGCAGCGATCGTAGTCCGAGTAGCTGTTCTGATGAAGGAAGTCATCGGTGAGGATATTCGCCACGTCGAGAGTGAGTTTCTCCATGTCGGACAGCGACTCGTGCCCGGTCAGTAGCATCAGCTGCTTCACATCGTTCTCCTTCTGCAGCACGTTCAGCGCCTTCTTCCGGTACTCCATGAATCGTGGGAACTTGGATTCGTAATAGGGCGCTGCGTGCATAATGAAAGACACTCGCTTAGCTCTAGCTGACTCGGTCACTCTGGCACGTGCGACATTACTTCCGAGACAATAGTCGATGTAATATTCATATTATCAAGAATCGATATAATCGACAAAGAGGCCATTATTTTATTAATTCGACATTTTCAAGTTCAGATGGAGAAAGTACTTTTGGCCATAAGCACGATTATTGCTCGCGCACCCTTCTTTTCTCGTGTCGGCGTGGCAAAGGCTCATCGACCCAAAGCAACGGAAACTTCCACGGCCTAATTTCTATACGCAATTTATATCGCAAATTTTGGAATTAAATTCGAGTTAAAAATGTCAATGGCAACTGTCTTGAAGAGTCGGGTCGGTCGTGCCGATCGCCGATCTTTCAGAAACGGAGAAAGAGGAGCGATCGACGATCAGCAGCCGTCATCGAGCTCGGAAGTACGTGTGCGCGCCAGTGCCTCGGAGTTACTTTATTACACAACAAGGAAAATAACTTAAGTGTCCGATGGATTCGGTGTAACTGGTGAGGCAGTCGATAGATGGGAAGTGTTTCCTCTCGGCGAGCCTCTTGTCGAGGGCCCAGAACGTCTGGGTGAGGGATTGAGTAGCGGTGGTGAGGGGCTCGGACAAGTCGCCCGCTGGCGGTGATATCACCCCGATGATGGTCACAGAGCCGTCGCGGTTCGGATTGCCGATGCACCGGAATCGACCGCCCCGCTCGTAGAAGGAGGCCAGCCGCGTGGAGAGATAGGCCGGGTAGCCGGAGTCCGCGGGCAGCTCACCGAGGCGGCTGCTGATCTCCCGCAGAGCCTCCGCCCAGCGCGACGTCGAGTCCGCCAAGAGGGCGACGTGGTAGCCTTGGTCGCGGAAGTACTCCGCGATAGTGATGCCCGTGTAGACGGAAGCCTCGCGCGCAGCCACCGGCATGTTCGACGTGTTCGCTATCAGTGTCGTCCTCTGCATTATCGACTCACTGTCCCGTTCACACGAGTACACAATATTCTCTTTAACTGTGCCGTTCATTATCGTACATCGTACTTTGTCATTCGTTTGTTTGATCATTTATTCATTTATTTTATTTTATTTTATTTTATTTTATTTTATTTTATTTTATTTTTTGTATCTCATTATTATTTATTTGTTCTTCCCTCCGCCGGACGTCCCGGAGCCTTTGTGGAGCTGCGGGGACTCCAGGACGGGCCGTCGTCACGGGCGTGTATCGCTATGCAAGACTCTTCGCTTTAAGAGGCAGAGCCGATTTGCGGTTGGGTCGGGCTCCTGTGGTCGTTGGCGGTGCTTATTTTTACCGACTGATCATTCTTCCAATTGGTTGCGTGTGTCACGGGCGACGACCGGGGCGTCGAGGACGTGCCTACGACGCGAGGTCATGCATCGCGATACACACCGTCGAGCTGTTGGGGCGGGTATCGCCAGTTGCGCGAGGGTCGATTATGACAGACACGGGATAGTCGCGGAGGGATTGCGGATAATCTGCTGCAAATAATCGAGACTCGATGGTGGGTGGTGGTGGTGCTACATTGCGTTGGCGAAGGCTCGAGATGATGAGGTGACTATGGTTTCTTGGGGTGGGGAGAGGGGGAGAGGG